CTAATGGCAGGGTATTTTCTTTTTTTTTTCAGGCCAGTCCCTCTCACAAAGTGTCTAACACCCTGAGGATAGAAAAAAAGGAAATGGAAAAAAGTCCTATTTCCCAATCTTTCTGTGAACAAAAGACAATGGGCCATAGTGTGTTAAGCATGGATTTAGATGCATCTTCTACAGGATCAGGATCTCCAACTGACAATATTTCCCCAGGCAATATTATTCTTGAATTCTGTGACCCAGGTTCAGCTGTCACAATAAAAGCAAACAGTTCTTTCCAACCGGAGGTCAGTTGTACAAGATAATTTTTATTTAATTCGTGTGGTGTAATTTTTACATCTTGAATGTGCCATATGTGTGAAGCAGGTACACTCAACTCTTCGGCCTTCAAATGAGCACCACGTCAGGCATTTGAAGTTCGATACGCCAGTCAAGCAAGTCAAACCAAATTCCATCTACCAGCCTCCCACATCGGTATACTATTTGTATCCTGCGATAGGCAATGACTCTCTTTCTATCTTTTTGGTAGCTTTGTAGTTTTAATGTATTCTAAATATGTCCTCCAGCCATATTGTAATCCAATAATTGATGTACAACTTACACAAACCGAAGTTCCTGGAGCTGCTTTGCCTAAAGATAATGTAAAAGCTAACAAAGTTGCTGACTTGCAACGCTACCTGAAATGTCGAGGTTTGCCTTCCGGAAACAGACAACAAATGGAAGCCAGGTAATATTTTTTTATTCGAAACTAAGAACACAATTCGTCACTAACAAATACTCTATGGCACCGTTCAGTCAAGTAGGAGGCAAACCAGCCCACAACTGCCTCAGAGAAACCGAGAAATTTCAGCTTAGTTAATAACAAGCCATGGTGGACACAATCAAAGACCTTACTCAAGTCCAATAATGCCACAAGTGTGAGCTCCCTGTGGTCTATTGCAGCTCTGACATCATCAACTACCCTCAGAAGGGCAGTCAGTGTGCTGTGATTGCTTCTAAAACCAGACTGCAGCTCACTGAACAGATTATTGTTGTGTAAATATTCACACACTTGCTTGTGGACTACTTTTTCGATTGCTTTGGCCAAAACACAAATAATGCTGACTGGTCGATAATCTTTAGGTACTTTAGGGTCTTTGACCTTTGGTATTGGCAATATATTAGCCTTCTTCCATATATCTGGAAAGCTCCCGCTTTGTAGACTATAATTGAAAATGTGGTCCAGAACAGGGTGCAAGAGAGGTAG